AAAAACAATTTTTAACTATGGCTCAAAATAACTTTTTAAGGTAATTATCTTTAATGATACATTAAAAAAAGCTCTAGATTATAGTTGCTATGATACTTTGTAAATTCTAAAAAAAAAATAACATTTAAAATTTTAAAAGTACTTTTTTTGTTTTTACATTTGTGCAAAACTTCAAAATAAGAATCSMAAATTAATTTTCAAATGATTCCACTAACCATATTAATTTTATTACAATATCCAATATTTATTAATCAGCTACCAGTGTTTTGTGGATATCAATATATCAATGTAGTATAATCAACATTGATAATAACAAAACTTGTTTTATATAAATAATATTACGTGTACTAAAATGAACTTTGTATGTTAAATCATAATATATTATGTTGATCATTCCTGATAATATTCTTATATCTACATTTTGCCAGAAATTTGAATAATATATATATTTAAGAGGATGTAGTGCAATACTTATTTTTTCTCTCAACTCTTCGCGTAACATGGATTACAATCATATAAAATTGTTTTTTTTTTATGATTTAAATAATCTTAAGAGTTACTTATTACAAATATTATACAGGATATTGTCGAAGATTTGACATTAGTTTTATACTTTATTATTATTTGACTTTAAAAAAATATATATATTTTTTGTTAATTTAAATGGATATTAAGAAATAAATTGTTTTGAGTCATAACTTAAGTTAAGCTTAGTATTAAATAATATTGCAGTTTTGGTAATTATATTATTTCACTTCTATAATTGATATATTATTTTAGTGCTTCAAATGACTCTCAAGGGTATAAGGCTAGTCAAGATTATGGACAGTATTTTGAAACCAACTATTGGCATCGATACTCTATATGGAATCAACCAGAAAGTCAGAATTGTATGCTTAAGCCAGAACCAGCTATTGAAAATACTGTTCTTAAAACAAATGGCAATTTAAATCTAGTTGGTATGTCATCATATCTCAACAAAATATAACTAAATACATTTTAAAATTWAAAAATWTGTTTTTAAAATCATAAATGTCATTTTAGTACCTATATTCTTTTATAAATTAAAAATTTTGCAGATTACAAAAAATCAATTGACGTAGATGCATTAAACAAAGACCTCGTCACACAAGATTACAATTTATGGGATGCRCTTGAAAGTTCTAAATGGCTACCACTCGACTCAATAGAAATTATTTAAATATTAAAGAACATTTAACCTAGTTTTTTTCAAATCTCATATTCCTTGTCTATACTTTATAACATGAT